AAGAAAGGGGTAGCTAATGAAAGCATTGGAAAAGATGTCCCCATCTCAAGCTCAGCAACTTTTGAACTTTCTTTAAACAGCAGAATAATTGTCATTCTCCTGAGCATCTGGGTGTTTTTTCTGGCCAGGCCCTGGTTAATGAGAAGTCAAGAACACAAAGAAAATATCCTGGTTTACTACTGTGCTCACCAGAAGTCAAGGTTTTCTTACCAGTTACAGATATGCTGGTTTGGTACCTCCTTGAAATTTTCTGCCATCTTTAGTCTCAACCAATGGCAGGACTGGGGATTTAAACTGAGACTATGAAGAACAAAGAACAGGTACAAAGCAAGGCTGATTCTACCACTGTTGATGGATATGACAGCAGAGATCCCAAAGCCCATAACCCTTGCTGGTGTCACTGTGGGTTGAACTGTCCCCTCAACTTATCTCTACAGACGCCCTGTAGAACTCCTTGCACAGCTGCCTTGATACATCCCATCTCTTTCAGCATCCCTGCAGGTAACTCTCCCTCTGGCTAGGAGACCACTGCCTTCCCCTACCTGCTCCTCACTGTTCATCCTGTTCTTCTAGATCTTAAGCTGTTCTCAGCCTGTTACTCTTGCAGACAGAGCTGGACCTGCTCTCAGCTAACAGCAATTGGTTCTTTATTTTCTTAGCTTAGAATTTTCTTTCATATTCCATAAAAATCATCTGTCCACCCAATGGATTGTGTCCTTCCTGAGGACAAAGATTTCTCTTAGTCGTCTGTAGATGATCAATAATAATAGTTTTAATGAATGAACTCCCATTTCAATTTTAAATAGAGTATACTGATGCTATGCCTTTGGCCCCCCCTCTTTATTTTAAACATTGATTTCAAAAAGAACAAAGTTTTAGACATACTGGCTATATGCTATCCTGCCCAGCAAATCAGTCATGTGTCCACTGTGTAGATAACTGGACTTAGCTCCTCTGAATCAGAAGTCAGCCTTGGCTAGCCATGGAGGTGTAGACAGATACACTCTACCTCCTTGCACAGCCAAAAGAAGGACAACAAAAAAATAACCAGACCTGCGAAAAATCCAACTGTAGGGAAGTCTGACAACCAAGCCATTAAACATTCACGAAGACAGGGGGAGCAGAGATGGGAAGCCAGGGTGGACAGGACTTGCAGCAAGGTGGCAGCTGGAGGACCAGAGCAGGCGAGGCAACAGCTGGCAGACCTGTGGGCAGTCCCACAGTTATGTGCAGATAAACTAGGAGGAACAACTGGGGAGTGAGATAGAGTGTACGAGCCAGGGTTCCACTGTGGGGAGAGAAAGCCTCAAAACCTCTGACAGAGGTGAAAACCTCTGGGGGTTGCAGCAGCAGGAAAAACTCGCAGCCTCAGAGGAGAGTCAGTTGGAGAGACCCACTGAGGGGAACCCTGTTCCTCGGAGTCCTCCCAGTCGCAGATGAAATGAGTCGTCCTGGACACAATCTGTCTGGTGGGAAAGGGGGTGGCGATTCCCTCTAGTGGAGAATGCCCTGACCCCTTCTCTGAAACAGCTTTTATTGGGATTGGTATGTGTAGGGCACAGGTGGCAAACACAAAGCCCGTGGGCTGAATCCAGCCTTCCACCTTGTTTTATCCGGCCTGGCACATTGTTGCAACCCAGTGGCGGCGCCAAGCACTTGCTTAACTGTTAAGGAGTAGTTACATTTACACAGTCCTAAAATCACATTCTACCCTTTGAAGGCAACTGCAAGGCTGATATGGTCCCTGGTGAAAATGAGTTTGACACCCCTGGTGTAGGGATATACAGCATGCATGCACAGCTCATCAATCAATGTCCAAAGGCTACAGTTACAAAAACAGATATTATCTATCAATAACAATTGAAGAAACAGAGATCCGTCTTAGGTCAGAGTCTGTCATACATGCTGACGCCAGATGGTTGTTAAAGCATGTTTCATATGTACACTCCTAATACTTTGGACTTAAACATCTGGTTTACACCCACAGGCTGTACAAAGCAAAGCAAGCTTCAAAGGATACAATGGCCTGTACAATGGCCATTCTTCAGGCCTGATTTCCCACAGGAACCCTCGGTGCTAGCATTGGGTCATGCCTGCCTCTTGCATTTCTGGTGTTCTGGTCAAGACTTATAGGCCTCTTTCAAGGCCTTGCTTTCATGTGGCTACACAAAATGGTCCCCAACAACCCACAGCGTCCTGGAACATACACAAACCCACCCACCCAGGAATCAACACTGGAAGCACCCAATTTGCATGTGGGTAGCAGGGGAAGTGACTCAAAGCCAGCCGAGAGCCAAGCAAGTAGCATCATTCCCTGTTGGACCCCTGCCCCACATACAGCTCCAAACAGTGCCCTGTGTTGCCCTGCACTGGTGAATACCTAAGGCTCCACCCCTCACTATGTAAAAGAGGCTCCAGGACAAAAAAATATGGTCCAAATGAAAGAACAGATCAGAGCTCCAGAAAAAATACAACTAAGTGACAGAGAGCCAACCTATTAGATGCACAGTTCAAAAAACAGTGGTAATCAGGATGCTCACAGACATGGCTGGGTGTGGTCACAAATGAGAGGAAGAAGCAAAGGCTATGAAAAGTGAAATAAAGGAAAATGCGCAGGGAACCAACAGTGAAGGGAAGGAAACCAGGACTCAAATCAATGATTTGGAACATAAAGAAGAAATAAATGTTCAACCAGAACAGAATGAAGAAACAAGAATTCAAAAAAAAAAAAATGAAGAGAGGCTTAGGAACCTCCAGGACAACATTAAACATCCCAACATCTGAATCATAGGGGTGCCAGAAGGGGAAGAGGAAAAGCAAGAAATTGAAAACTTACTTGAAAAAATAATGAAGGAGAACTTCACTAATCTGGCAAAAGAAACTGACTTCCAAAAAGTCCAGGAAGCTCAGAGTCCCAAAGAAGTTGGACACAAGGAAGCATCCACCAAAGGCATATCATAATTATATTACCCAAGATTAAAGATAAGGAGAGAATCTTAAAAGCAGGGAGAGAAAAGGAAACAGTTACCTCCAGAGGAGTTCCCATAAGGCTATCAGCTGATTTCTCCAAAGAAACCTTGCAGGCAAAAAGGAACTGTAAAGAAGTATCTGAAGTCATAAAAGTCAAGAACTTACGTCGGAGGTTACTCTATCCAGCAAAGCTATTCTTTAGAATAGAATGACAGATCAAGTGCTTTCCAGATAAGGTCAAGTTAAAGGACTCCATCATCACCAAGCCCTTATTATATGAAATGTTAAAAGGACTTATCTAAGAGAAAAAAGATAAAAAACTATGAACAGTAAAATGACAAGAAACTCTTAACTGTCAACAACCGAATCTAAAAAAAACCAAAACCAAAAAAGATTTAACAAGTAGAACAGGAACAGCATCACAGAAATGGAGATCACCTAGACGGTTATAGTGGGTGGGTGTTGGGGACCGCCCTGCCTGGTTTCAGGAATTGTAAACCATCTCCCATGTCTAAGGCTGTGAGCCACTGAGTAGACAAGGCTTGTCTCTGGCAGCAGATGTAGCCCCTGCTTCATATCCCTGCCCCCAAAGTATGGTCGGATGCTCAGAGACAGGTGAGACCCCTCAGAGGAGGGGCAACCTAGGTGAGACACAATCACTTGGGAGGCCATCATAGAAGGACTCTGGGGGCTGCGACAAAGAGGGAGTGATGGACCCTCATCCCCCTGGCTTTGACGAAGCCCGAGTCCCCATGTTCCCTGGGAGAAGCGCTTCCTGGCTCTAATCCACTTAAGCCTAAAAACCTATGATGGGGAAGGCGGTGCAAGCCTTGTGCTGGGAATGGCGAACTCCCTGGGTAATTTGGTCTGAAAAGGAACATGTGAAACCCTGTGAGACCTGCTTTGTTTAAGAATGCTTTTAGTTAGATGATAAGGGCCTGAGCAGAAAAAGTTCTGTAGCCTTTTAGCTGACAGGCCCTGATTTAAAAGAAGCCCTCATAGTTCTTTGTACACTATCTACTGTTTACTGCTTGACAATGATTAATAAGCTGTACCTGAACTCCTGTGCAAAAATCCCAATAAAAGCCTGACTAGGAAAGGGTCGGGGCACTCTCTCTCCCCTGGTGAGAGAGTTGCCGGGCCACTGCAGCAGCTCCCTCTCCCTTTGAGAGAGTTGCCTGCCGCTCCAAGCTGCTCCTCCCTTGAGAGGGTGGCGGCCGTTCTGAGGCTCTCCCCCCTTGAGGGAGTAGCCTTGCTGGCCCTTTTCCTCCACAGGACTCGGTAGTCTGTGTGAATTTGTCTCATCCGTGATGCCACGGGCACTGCTTGTCAGTGCAGGCATCAGGTGGGGGGAGGAGAATGAGGGAAAATGTAGAGGGAATAAGAAGCATAAATGGTTGGTACAAAATAGACAGGGGGAGGTTAAGAATAGTATGGGAAATGGAGAAGCCAAAGAACTTATATGTATGACCCATGGACATGAACTAGAGGAGGGGGGAATAATGGTGGGAAGGGGGATACAGGGCAGAGGGGAATAAAGGGGAGAAAAAAATGGGACAACTATAATAGCATAATCAATAAAACATATTAAAAAAGAAATATATGAAGGGACATGTGGTTCAAGGGAGACAGGATAAGTAACAGAAAGCATGGATGGCTTGCAAGGAACTGGACAGTATATAATTGTATAAAAGTATTCAAATTAAATAATTTTAAAAAAATGCGCTGACCAACGAATGAAGGCTGGCTTTAGTTTGCTTACTTGCTTGGTCCCTGAGATTATCTGGGTCTATTTTGTAGCTTACACTCTCACGAAGGCCCAACAGGATTTACAGGAGCACAAACTCATTTTTCTCTAGGCACAATGAAAATACAGCCACAGGTCAAAACTGTGTTCTAAGAGCAGATGGCCTCTTCTAAGTTCTAAGTGCCAATGTGTGACCTTACAGCCAAATCTTATCTTCAGCTGCACGATATATGATTAAAAAAACAAAACAAAACAACCAGGGTAGCACCCAGCACATAGAAGAATCTTTTTATTGTGCCTTGCTGATTAACCTTAGGCTGGACAGACAAGGCATTGTGAGGTTGTACAATTAGGTTCTATGATATCACCTGCTAATTTAGATGGCTATAGCACTAAGCACAATTCCAGATAATACTATCAGAAGTTCACTTTTAAAAGGCCTTGTTTTTACATAAACTTATGTATAGGACTGTTGGCCTTCAGTGTAGATGGAGGCAGAGCTTAAATTCTGGCACATCAGATCTGTGTGTTGGAACAGAATTGCCAAGTAGGAAAGACAGGATGACAACAGACACGCATCCAAATCGGCGAGACAAGATCCAGGAGCATGGTGACAGTGGTAGGAGACCCGGGCAGGCCTGGAGGTCTAAGAGGTATGAAATACAGCAAGTAAAATTCAGGCAGGTGACACTTCCAAGTCTAGGAAGGAAAACAGGAGGCAAGCACTCACATACCTGAATGTGCAGTGACAAACAAGGTCCTAGCCACTGGCTTGGGTATCAGGCAGCGAGGCTGGGTCCCAACTTACATGGAGGCAGGTGCCTGAAGAACCAAGCCAGCTCCTATGAGGCTCAGCTATATTCTATCTGCAAATTTTTTCTCCGAGAAAGCTTATAATTCACGAAACAATTCATGTAGGAGGAATTTACTTTCCATCTAAAGTTTTCTTTGAATGCTTTATGTTTTGAGTATCTCGAACCTATAAGGTAAGGCATATCTGATTTTAAAGACTTGTCTGAATTCATTTCCTCAGCCCCACTGAAATGGGGGAACCCAGAAAATCACCAAATCACTACATTTCACTAATAGAAAAAATATCACAAGCTTTCCAATACAATGACTTATGCAGTTATTACACTCCCTTGGACCACTTTCTCAAATGGGAAGAAATAAAGCTGAGCTGCTTGACATGAACAGGGTTCAGTGAATTTTATTAAAGCAGAAAAGAGGAACTATACCTTTAGCTAACACGGCTTAAATATTTCTCACTTGAGACATTTTTCTCACTTGAGAGACTTCTTGTCTTGGTAACATTATCATCATTGCTGGGTTGCAGTCTTCCCTATTTTGCAACTTTCAGAAAGAATATATTTAGAAACTATATATATACACATATTCTAAATTTATGGCCAACAGGCAATGATGAAGGAAGTTTAACCCCCCCTACCCCCGACCCCATCACCAATATTACCTTTCTTCTCAATTCGAAGAGCTAAACATAGTTTCTACTTCGTCTCTTTCATTTTTATTCAGTTATCTTTTCGCTAAATTAGGGAGTTTTGACGCAGGGGACTTAACCAATATATGTAAAAAGAAACAAATCATTTGACATTTTAAGCGCTTGGGATGTTGGATTACCTGGGTTATTTTAACCGTACAGAGACAGTTTTGCTACCATCCCACTCAGAATCATCCAGATCACCGCCCCATTTCCTGTTTCAACAGTGGGAAATAGCTGTCCTTGCGCTCTCGGGGATTGCCGGTCAGTCCCTTCCGGGATTTGCGTAGGTGTCACTCGCAGCCATCTCACCGAACTGGACCTCCCCAGGCGCCCGTCGAAGCTCAAGAGTGTACTGCTCCGCACCCTCTAGGACCCCGAGGGACGCCGGCAGGAGGCGGTGCGTAGCAAGCGTCCAGTAGGGCCCGCTCCGGAGTTCCGGGGTAGGCACGCACCACGAGGGAGAGGCGTGCGCGGGGGGAGTGGGCGTGGCTGCGCGCGGGGCGGTCCGGGCGCACGGCAAGTGGGCGGGGAGCGCCGCTGGGCCGTGAAGCTGCCGGGCAGGCCGGGCATTAGGGCCTCAGCGGAGCCGCTCCCCAGCGCGCTGGGCGGGGTGTGTGGCGGACCGCTTCGCGGGCAGGCGCGGGCCCAGAGGCAGCGGCTGCGCCCTGCGCTGGGGAGGAGCTGGAGGCGGGCGGGCCGCCAGCGGGCGGGGGCTGGGACCCGAGGTAGGGAGTGCCGGGGCGCCAGCGGCGGCAGCGGCGGCAGCGGCGGCAGAACGGCCTCGGTGCTTTGGTCCCTAGCGACTCGGGTTCCGCCCGCGGGCTGCGGTGTGAGTCGGCGCCCGGCTCCCTTTCTACCCCGCTCGCTGCCGCCGCTGCTGTGATTGGGTGGAAGATGGCGCTGGGCGGATGGAAATCCTAATGACAGTCTCCAAATTCGCCTCCATCTGTACCATGGTAGGTGCGGCGGGAGGACGGCAGGGGCGGCCGGGAACCCCTAGGGTGGGCGGCTGGCTGACCTACAACGGTCCCCGCCCCTCACTCTGGCCGTCGGTGGGGCCTGGGCGCGGGCGGTTGGACGGCTGCGGGCTCAGAGCACAGCAATTAGCGGCCCCCAGGGACGGGGAGGCGGCTGGCGATCAGGGAGGGCGGGAGGGTGACCACAGAGGGGGCTCCTATGCGGGTTACGGCTGGGGGCGGGTCCCGGTGTTCGGCTCCCCGGGCTCTGCTGCTGAAGTCTTACAGCGGCGCCGGGGTGAGCTACGAGGCGCTCCCGGGCTGTGAGTGCGCGGGCTGGAGCTAAGCTCCGGCCCGAGTTGGAGGTGGAAGGACACGGGGCGGTGCGCTGCGTTTCCGTCTGGCGGTGCGCGAAGCTGGGAGGTGGCTCAGGGCGGCGATGAGGGTCCTACGGCAGGAAGGCAGGTCTCAATCCTGTCCCATAGAGGACGGAAGTCTAGTGCAGATTCCCTCTCTGCCCCTTTGGCGAGGCCGAGTTCCCCACCCGCTGCTTCGGGGAAAGGGGTGTGTGTGAAGGTGGAAACTTTAAATAAGTGAGGTGGAAATTTTTCCCATTTCTACTCTTTCGTAGAAAAGCGAGCTCTTCTTTTCCAACCACGTGTCCAGGTGGCAGTCTTGTCTTTGGGAATCCACGTTAATGTTGCAAACAGCTTAAGCTTCCTTGTCACACTTGTTTACTTGAGTATACTAGGCACATTGTGTGTGGCTTGAAGTATTTCTGTGCAGCGACTGACTTCAAGGGTTATAATCTGTGCTTTACTGGGGTTTCTAAATAGACTTTAAGGGCAAAGAGCTAATAATACCTGTTGAAAAGTACCGAATGAAGCAAAACGTGGGTGCGTGTAAATCTTGGTGATTTGTGCTTGGCCAGGAGGGCTACAGTTTTCCACACGATGTGGCATATTTTTATTAGCTCTTTATGAGCTTATATCTGAAGCAAATAATTTCACTAATAATAATGAAAAATAAAGGCCATCACAGAAAAAAGTTATTCTTTGCACTGTGGGCCTAGTGATTTATGTTTTGAAAGACTCTGAAAATCTTTTCTTCTGTTTTGTCTTACTAGCCTTTTTTCTAAGCAGTCTTCAATTTAAGGGTGGTACATTTTATATTCATTTTTTAAAAGGAGTGGTAAATTACATCCGCAAGATGCTACCGCATGCTGATGTAGTAAAAAAATGGCTGAAATCAAGTGGAATTAAAATCTACAGCAGCGATTTTCAACCTTTTTCATCTCATGGCATATGTAAACTAATTGCTAAAATTCCATGGCACAGCAAAAAATGTATTTTTTACCGATATGACCAAAAATAGGTATAATTTCGATTCATTTCACACCAGAAGGCCATTGTTGTGTTGGCTGCTTTCATTTTTTAAATTTGACAGTCTAAGGGAAAATAGGTTAGTGCCCCTACCTAAATAGTTATATATTACTTTAAATATTCTGTGGCACAGTGTTGTGCCATGGCACACCGGTTGAAAATTGCTGATCTGCAAGATTAAAGAAATCATATTGAATAATTAATCATTGGTGAATTCATTTCCCCTCATAATTTACATTTTAGGAAGTATTGATATTAAAGGAACTATATTAAAGTGATTTCTGAGGATCATTTGGATTATTTTTAGATATTCTAGTTATTCTATTTCAAAAGGAATCTGATAATTAAGTCTTCAAAAGTGATAGATAATCTTAAGAGATTGCTGAGCTACACAGATTGTTGGGTCATAGTTCATTGTCAAAGTGTAGTGCTTCAGAAGTGATGTGTTACTCTACTAACTAGTCATTCACTCAGGTATATCAGGTATACATTCGGCACCTACTAAGGGCTAGCGACTGTGCTGAGTGCTGAGGATACAGCAGTGATCAAGACAATCCCTCCTGTCATGGTGTTTACATTGTAGTTGAAGGAGACAAACAGTATTCAAATGAACAGGTTAATATAAAATATGCTATGATCGGATTAGGAACATGAGGCACAAAGAGATTTGCCAAGTCAAACATGAATAAGTGGGATTCTGATCTCAAGAACGTTAGATTCCAAAGCTCTTGCCTAGGTCTTCCACTCTGGGGCATTAGTTGCATGTTGGATGTGTGTGAGTATTTGTTGGCAAATGCAGAAACACCAGTGGTTGGTCAAATGAGATTGTTCTAAAAGTAGTGTTAAAATTGTGTCTGTATTTATATTTGAATAGATTCTGATGTGCTTCCAACGAAATGCCGAATATCTCAAAGTAACCTGCAATTTTATCCTTTAAAGAAAACCTACCTTCTGAGAATTACAAAATTAACAATCAAGAAAAGCAAAGATATTTACCTCTGTGCCTTTGTAGATGCTATTTTTCTAGGCTTTGGACGTTCCGCCTCCCACCTTGTCTAGCGAGTTCATGCCTGTCTGTCAAGCAGGTAGCCTTATTTGACTAATCCTATCCCTGTCCATCCCCATCCACCTCATAATTTCACTGCATTTTTGTAATTTCAGTAGCATTTACCATATGTACTGTGTAGTGCCTTTTCTTCTCATCTGCTTTTTAGATTGTGAACGTACAAGGTGAGGGACTGTCATTTATTTCTGCCCTTTGGTGGAACACTAACTTCTACATTACAATAAAACAGTTTGGTTAAACATGGGTGAGACTGGAAATTTGTGTGGTGTCTTGGGGAGAAGAAGGGCTGGACCTAAAGAGCATGATGGTTCTCAGAGAATCAGAAGCTGTGGAAACATTTATGAAGAGTTGGATTTTATTTTACAGATAATTAAATTCATGTAATTTTTTTTCATTTGTCAACATAAGGTACCTGGGCAGATCAACAATACCTTAATTGCGGTAAATAACTGTGTTAAAAGCAAATCTTTCAGATATATCTTATTCTAGGTTACTATTGTTTTGCTTACATGTGAAAATTAGTAGAGTTCGTTTAAGTTAGCCTGACCCAAATGAGAGATTATGTTTAAATTTCACAGAATAAATTTGCAGACGTATTTCTAGCAGTGCCACTTATTATTTTTACATGAAAAAGTACATTTTCAGTATCATATGGTGTTTGTTTTGCCTCTGAAGTAACTTCAGAGTTCAGGGCCTGGCACAGAGTAGCTGCCCAGTGCTTAATATTATACTTAATAATGGTGAAATAGTGAGAAAAGGGGCCAAAAACCTGTGTTTTGAGATTGAGGTGTGAGTTATAAAGCCGTCTTGGGAGGCCTTGGACCGGGGAGTGATAGTGTGGGTCTTGCCTGTTGCAGGGAGGCAGGCACTGCTGTGGTCGGGGCTCCCAGAGCGTCATCCAGATCCCACTGTGATCATTTACGGTTTCTCCCTGGGCGGGTTGTAGGAGTCCTGGTTGGGAAGGGATTGTTGGAGAGGGGACTGGATCAGGGAGAAGCTGTTTGCCTGGGGTGGTAGGTGGATCATGGGGTGGCACTGGCCTGGCTGCTTGCCCACCTTCCAACATAGGGGTGACACAGATCTGTTAGAACTCCGTGTCAGTGAGGCCAACGCTGCAAGTTAGCTGCCGAGTGGGTTTGACAGGTTTACCTCCAACAAGCCTGTATTGAGCACAGCACCCTGCCTGTGGTAAACTTTGAACTGCTTATGGGAGGAAAGTCACAGGCGAAGCTGGCTATTTGTCCTCTTTCCATTCTCAGTAAGAACATGATGTGTGTGGAGTTAAAGTGCTCCAGAAAGAAAGTAAACGGAGGAAAAACCTTTTGTTCAGGGAGATGGTTTGACAGTCTACTTTTCAGTAGTCAGAGTATTATATTAGATAATAAAATTTCTTGTGCTGTCTCAAGAAATAGGATAGATGTTTTTATTAGTAAAATACTTAATTTTTATTAATATTTTACTAGTAAAATAGTGCTTCAGTGGTAGGAACAGTTGCCATTTGTTTCACCAATTTTTGCTGTTTTTACTGTAAATATTAATTTAAGACTCAAAAATGAGCCTTCTATCATATGTAAATGTTGGTTAAATACTTGATAAAGGAGTGTTGCAGCATGTATAGAGGAAGCTGGGAGAGGACATTTAGCATAAGTATTATTAAAGTTTTATTTAAGCCTGTGATCTTTTGAATCTGGTTAAATACATTTTGGGCATTAAAAATAATACATTCTTATAGAAAATTTGAAAAATCTATTAAAGAGTTTGGACATTCTTAAGGAAGCAAAAATAAAATATTTTATTTCTCAGAGCATATTTTGACTTTTCAAAAGAAACTTCATTGTGCTTACACCCTAGATAAAATTTTGCTGTTTAGCTTGCCCTAGAAATGATTGTCTTGTTAGTTTTAAAATTTGTACAAGTTCAGAATTAGCATAGAGAGTTGAATGTTATAAAATGATGTTAAACAGCAAGATCGTTGGCCCAGTAAGTCACAGTGATAGGCTACTAAGTCCTTGACAAGTTAGTTCATGATTACTGGAGGATAAAGTT